CGTGGCTGATGCTGAAAATTGGACCTATTTTGATATTAAATTTTAAAAATTTTTTTGGGGGGTATTTTTTACCGCTTTTTTTTTTACGGTTAGATTAGGATTTAGGGTTAGAATTTATAATTAAAGAGTATATATGGATTTTAGCAGGGCTTACATTTTAAAATTAAGACTCCAATTTTCAGCATCAGCCTTTTTCAGCATCAGCCGCGACATTAATTATTTTAACTCTTGTAATTGTCAAATAACTACCTCTGGAATTCTGGGAGTAGTCAATTGACAATCTCCAGGGGCTATATATTGACTATTAAATATCAGCTCCCTATATTTGCTAATACTTACTTGATGGTTACTTTGTTGGATAAGTTATTATCGAAACCAAAATCATCGATTTGATCTTCAATTTTTCCTCTTTCGAAGTCAACTTTTTCTTGGGTTTGAGCATTTTCTTCTTGGACATTTAAAATTACATATTTTACTAATAAATAAGTAAAATATAAAAGTTTTAAATATATTATAACCATATTTACCTGTAGCCAACATTTCAGTCTGTTTTTTCTCTTTCGATTTACCATGCATTAGAATTTTGCTAATACGACCCACGATATTCTATTTTAATTGAAAGCTTATTGAATAAACAGTATAAATATAACAAATACAGTATAATGAATGTAGTAGATGTTGGACCCGGTTTTAAGAATTCGAGTTTATCACGTGAATTTGCGATATTTTAGAATTTATTAAAATTTAATTGAATTAAATTTTAAAATATCACAAAATTCACGTGATAACTCGAATTATTAAAACCGGTTCTAACCCTAATATGTAGCATAGCATACTTGCAGAAATTCCATATATTTCTCGTCAAGCGGACGATAAGGACTGATGCCACATATAAATACAGCAGATAAACTTTGATTATCTCGAGATAGACCTTGAATCGGAAATAATACTGCTTGATCTTCATCTTTTAAATTGACCTTTAAATGTTTATTTTCTTTTATTACTAAATGTATTGGCCAAGATTTGCATTTTAAAAACGAATTTTTGGTCATTGATTCTACATAATCGTCGTAGTTTTCTTCAGCATAATTATTTAAATAAACTACAGGTGGTTGATCAAACCTATGCCTCTTTGGTTTCTCATATTGGTCATACAGAACTTTGCAATAAGTTGTAGCAATTAGACGAGCAGCATGAGTTTGAAGATGGGTACTTTCAATATTATGATCTACAAGGTAAATCATAGCAAAAGGAATGTCTTTATCATTTTTGAGCAATACTTCAATTATAAGGTTGCAAGCATTTTCTAAATTTTCTAAATTTTCTAAACATTCAACATTAAAAGATTATAGAAATATGGGCGTTAGTAATGTTTTGTTAACAAATAATGACGATTTATTAAAACAATTTACTAACCATTGATTTGTGTCAAATTATCAAGAGTTTTTATTCTTCGTTCAGAAAGAACCTTATTAGTTGTATCTTCACAGACACCCATCATAGCACAAACTTCGCCACCCTCGTTGAAAATCGGATGCATCGAATAACTGTAGTAGCGCTCTTCAAGATTAATGACACCACACGGATCTAGGTTATAACAATCACGTCTAAATACACTTTCTTCTTTTGACACACTTAATTTTTAATAAATAACATTTAATAAATAAATAAATAAAAATATGTTTATACAGTATTTAATATATAATTTTTTATATTTACAGTTTATACAGTGAATTCATCTTAGAATATGTTTCAGGTAAAGAGTCTTTGAACGGTTTTCCAAGTGCTATTTAATATTAAAATATCGATTGCAATTTAGCCATTTTTTTCGTTATTACGAAGTTGTGTGAATATAACTAACCGAATGGATTCTGATGTTTTATAACTGGTATCTTATCTATACAGCCTTGCTTAAATAAATATAATTAGATATTTGAAAAATACGCAAAAAATGAATAAGCAGTTAAATATAAAATTATTTTGTACGTACTTTTATTGTATATAAAATTAAGTTCAGATCCGTAATAAATAGTGATAGGATGCGGTGAATTAAAGCAGTAATTCTGATAAATTAAGCAATATAAGACTAAGTTTCATGTCATAAATTAAAAAACTGATGACAAACTTACAACAGCCTCCTTAAATGAGGGATCCCAAGTATCTATAGAGCCAAAAGGTGTCGATGACCAATCGTAGCTGTAGTTAAGGCCTTTCATGTTTAAAAGATTATAGAAATAGGCGTTAATAATGTTTTATTAACAAATAATGGATTTACTAAACCAATTTACTAACCCTTAATTTGATCACAAATACCCATCATAGCATAAAATGTACGATTCGTTTTGCAAATCAGATGCATCGAATAACTAACGTCACCACACGGATCTAGGTTACAATGTCTAAATACATTTTTTTTCTTTGACATGCTTAATTTTAATAAGTAAAATTTAATAATTATTATAATAATTAAAATAAATTATTTAATATATAATTTTGATATTTACAGTTCATACTCTGATTTCAATTTGGAATGTGCTTCAGATAAAGATGGTTTTCCAAATGCTATTTAATATTAAAATATCGGTTGAATTCAGCTATTTTTTTCGTTATTACAAAGTTGTGTGACTATAACTAACCGAAGGGATGCTGATGTCTTATAACTGGTATCGTATTTACACAGCCTTGCTTAAATAAACATAATTAGATATTTAGAAAAATACGCAACAACTAACAAGCAGATAAATATTAAATTATTTTGTATGTACTTTGATTGTACATAAAATTAAGATTAGATCCGTAATATCCGTAATAAATAGCGATAGGATACGGTGAACTAAGGCAGTAGTCCTGATAAATTAAGCAATATAAAGCTAAGTTTTATGTTAATAATTAGAGAACTAATGACAAACTTACAACAGCATCTCTGAATGAATCTGTAGGGCCAAGATATGTGTTCATTTCATTCTTCGCTTCATTGCTGTCATTTATGAATGAATCAGTACATTCAAGCATTATTAGAAATTTACATGTACAATATTTATTCTAAAAGATTTGTTGCTTTTTATATTGTTATTGTTTGAAAAAATAGATCTAAATAAAATAATATGTATCAGGAACATCATAATGAGTTAGAAAACGACACATTTTTTCTATTTCCATATTAGAAAAAGTACCTAAAATGCAGCAATTATAATTAAGGTTAGGGTTGGTTGAGTATTATAGGTAAAGTGTCCAGGTACTGCGGTGGTAGAATCTGCATATAATTTGTACAGAATCCTGCAAGCAGAATAATAAATGATTGGTGAATATAGTCTATTGTGATAAAATTAAGATAAAATTGGATTTTTCTTTTTGTTGCAATCTTGTTTTTTAAAGTATTATTATATGGCACCGCAGAATCAGATAATTGCAGCAGAATTTTTCAGTTAGAGCAGCAGTACCATGGTCACTCTAATTATAAGTAAATTTATACTCCTGACATTGTTTATTGGTGCTTCGAGGGTTTAGTAAATATTCAAAACAAGTGAAATAAAGGGTGTTACGATAGAGTGTTACCTTTGAACGGTTATATCCGGATATAATCTTTATAAAAGATGGTTTACGATCGACATTTATAATGATTACCAACTTTAATTTCAGTCAGAGATATTACTGCTAAAGCGTCCAAGTTAAAGTTACTTCTTTGATGAATTTAGGTTATTAGTTTATAAATATATCAGTAGAGGCCTTTCGATTTTTAACGGCTGCCCTACCTTGATTAGTGCGCTGGTATAACCCGGGTTTGCGTAAGGAGTGCGTCTTTCTGTATTCCGTTCGGATGGTACCATCATAGGTCCATTTTGTTGATACCTTCATGAGTACCAATAATACTTTTGAAATGCTTATATTGTCGCGTTCAAGTTTAGTTAGTTTCGGAACGTTCAATTTTGGTTAATACCATTATCGATCGTTATAGGTACGTCCTGAATAAGGAAATAATGTTCCGATCATGCATATTGATTTTCCGATCATATTAAATATTGATTAACCAATAAAAATCGTACATTTTTATAAAAAAGAAATTTAATTAAAATCTATAGTTAAATTTAAAGATAAATGCCACCAAATGTTGTTGTTGGGTAAATAAGCATGTATTTATTATTTTAAATCAAGATTATTAATTTTTAATAGGATTTGTTTAAAACCCATTAATATATATGTTGTACCCCGAATTGGAATCTGTCCTGATTCAGAATCGGGACAATCCCGGATGAGAATTTGGTAATTTTGGCCCGAATTATACTAGCAAAAATTAAAAATTTTTTATTATAAACCCCAATTCTAACCCTAACACTAACCCTAAAGTCTTAATTCTGCCAAAACAATTCACAAGATTCCCATCCAGAGCAGCCCGATTCTGGATCGGGACGATTCCAATCTGGGGTATGACATATATATGTCAATTCTATGTTTAATTCTACACCTAATATTATGCCTAATTCTACGTCTAATTAAATCTCTAACATCTTACACTATACTATTTATATCACACAACTATTACTCTAATACATCGTGTATGTATATAAATTTCTTATCGTGTCTTATTTTTTACGTTTCTTTTGCTCAACAACTGAGATTTTGTCACCGTAGTGATTGTTAATCACTTATAACTTCGGCAGGTAATGTGTAATATGAAAGTCGTGGGATCAATAGGGATTAAGCGAATATGTTGTAGAGCAAGACAAAAAATTCAAGTTTGCTTAGTAGACTTATCCACGTCTCATAGAAGGGTAGGCTACCCGAAGTTCCTAAAATATTATTGTAAGACATATAAAAAATTTCTTTAATACTCGTGTAATCATACCGGAGTCAATTTTTTAACTTGACTTTATTGGTGCGTGCCAATTTTGATACCCTCATGAGTACCAATAATACGTTTGAAATGCTAATATTTTCGTAGCTTTGGAATGCCAAATTTGGTTAATGCCAACATCTTTTCTAATTTTACTTTAATGAGTACCAACAATATGCTCATATTGTCGCGTTCGTTTTTTGATACCCTCATGAGTACCAATAATACGTTTTGAAATGCTAATATTGTCGTAGCATTGGAATTCCAAATTTGGTTAATGCTAACGTCTTATATAATTTTACTTTTCTAGGTACCAATTACTGATACCTTCATGAGTACCACAATATGCTCATATTGTCGCGTTCAGTTTTTTGATACCCTCATGAGTACCAATAATACGTTTTGAAATGCTAATATTATCGTAGCCTTAGAATGCTAAATTTGGTTAATGCTAACGTCATTTATAATTTTACTTTTCTAGGCACGTACGTACGTACCAATTACTGATACCTTCATGAGTACCAATTTTAGTGATACCTTCATGAGTACCGACAATATGCTCATATTGTCGCGTTCAGTTAATACTAACGGCTTTTATAATTTATTTCAAATTATATTTGCATTAAGAACATTCATGAGGAAACTTTTTTTACTTTTGAAGAAAATATCTCCGATGATATTTGGAATCATAAATTTATAGCAATTCAAAAAATATATAAACCATAGCTATGAAAAAATTTATTTAAATAGACACATCAGCAAATTACAATAATAAATCGATTGTTTTCCACTATTTAAGTACGAAGATAAATATATCTTTTAAGTAAAGGCAATCATACAGCAGGATATTATTATTTTGTAATATCTATTAATTCTAATTGGTTTAGAGCTTAATAGTTCTGTATCTTCGATAAAGTTGGGAACCAAAACCCAAACCTTCCTAAACCTTTTAGGTTTAGGATATAGAATTGGTTAGTTTTGAATTAGATATTTTTTTATCTAAATTCCAAACCCTAAATATTAAACTAAAATCAAATCCTAAAACAATCCCAAGATCCCAAATTAATGGCAAAATCCAAAACTAATACAAAATCCCAAATAATATCAAAACCCAAACCAGTGCCGAAATCCCAAACTAAATTAATATATACAATTTTTTATATATATCAACTTCATATAAAATATATTTGGTATTTTGAAAATATTAGTATTGGTTTGGGGTTTCAAAATTAGTTTGGGTTTTGGCATTAATTTGGGTTTCAGCATTACTTTGGGTTTTCGGTATTGGTTTAAGTTTCGAGAAAACTATATTAGTTCAGTTTGAGCACCGATTTGGGATTTTGATATTTGTTTGGGATTTCAACATCAGTTTGAGATTTTAGAATCAGTTTAGGGTTTGGTAACTATATGCGAAACCCGAAACCTTTAGTCTCAAGAGAAAAGGTTTAGGTTCCAAATTCAACCTTTGAGAAAAGGTTTAGGTTCCAAATTCAAATCTCTTGTAATGTTAATATGACTCTTATTATTAGGTCTGATAATGAGTGGAAGTAGCATCCAAACACAAAGCTATCAAGCCCAAGGTCTTACAACTACTGTTGGACCTCAAATTACTCAAAATAATTCCATCAGTATATCCATTGCGGCTCAAAGATATAACTATTTGGTTGAAGGTGGTAATCCTTTTAGTGGATTGCAAGATTCGGAAATTCCGCTACAGAATGTCGAATTTTCAACTGCAATTATTTCGGGAACCTCTTTTTCATAAACAATTTATTTATAAAACAATGCAAAGAACCACATTTATCTCAAAGTTTAGACTAGTAAGGCATATTTGTGGTCCTAACAAAATTTTTTTGATGAATAGACATCAGAAATCACATAGCCGAAAAATCGTTCTTATGCCCTGTTAATTTCCATAGCCGAAAAATCGTTCTTATGCCCTGTTAATTTCCATATGCATAATTAATCCTCTTAAGAATCTTATGAACTTTTTAAAATGAAAAAATCATTTTATCATATGATAATCTACATATCTCTACCAGGGACACAGAAATTATGCAAAAAAAAGTTTATTAGTATGATTCTTGACAAACAACATTAAATCAAGATTTAATTGGCAAAATCTAAATATAAAAATAAATATTTTTATTATTAAATTGGCAATACAAAAATAAAACCTTAGATAAAAATATAAATAAATGCAAAAGTTATACTAATAATTTTTTTATATCCATTATAATACAAGCAGGTTACTATAATACAGGTCATAATTTAATAAATTCTAAAATATTTCTATATGTATGAAATTTAAAAGAGAAATGATTTTCGTACATCAGTTTCGTGTAACTTCACGTACATCAATTTAGGTTTGGCCAATGAAATCGCAGCGTTAGTTGATTCACTCGAAATTCGACAATTATTTGCGTACATCAATGGTTGCGTACATCAATGATTTTGTGTACATAAATTCGGTGATAAAAATCTGTCGAAAATTGAGAACAAATAATATTAAGGAAATAAAATAATAAAATGTAAAGAAATGTAAAACAAATACGTAGATGGTATTTATGCCATATTAAAGATTTTTATTTAGCCGTTTAAAAACACTATCGCTATTCATTTAACAAATTTGAAATCATAACCTTTCACATAATATTGTAAGTTTTTTGCATATGCAAATTTAACACCAACGATTTACATAAATTAAAGAAAAAAAAACTATATTTATGGTATTCTTTTTTTTTTGAATGTTAATGGTATATTTATGGTATTCTTCCACGGTAGTTAGATAATAATTACATTAATTTATATTAAATGAAGTATAATCGATAATATACAGTATTGCAATGGAAAGACTTATTAGTAGTATATATGTTAATTCATAGAATTGTTGAAATTTTTGACTTCATGAAACATGTTACATAATACAAAGCCAAATGTTACCCATCAAATAAATAATTAAGTTTTTGTTTCATTAAAAACAATTTCACCTTGAAGTTGGCTCTCCTTAACATTAAATAGATTTTTGACTCACGAATTTTAAAAAATAAAATATATATATCGTAAAACTCGGAAAATAAGCAAACCTATAATAAAATTAAATTAAATTTTATGTTCTATAAATAAGCACACTCATACGGTAAAGTAATTGCACGAAATTATCAGATTTTAAATTGGAATTAGACGTTATCGATTTTAATAACCAGTGAATAAACACTCCCATTAATAAAAAAAAAAAGTATGCTTATTTTTCCGAGTTTTGCGGTTTACTTTTTTATAATCCCTGATCACTATGCCAAGATCACAGAGATTAATGAATAATATTCTGATCCATATGTAAATAAGCGAAACTTCATTTCGCCAATACCCAACAGATCAGAATATTATTATACTAATACTTACCATATTACTACTATCTTCTAATTTAGCAATAACTAAACATTAATTCAAAGTAACAAATTAATTAATCAATTATGCAAGCTAAACAAGTTAAAAGCATAAAAAACATAAAAGAAAGAAAAAGAAACAAAGTATAATCTATACAAAGTAGAGAGAATGCCAATCCTCAGAAAAGCTTAAACGACGGCAAATAGGTAAATACTGAGGATTTATAGGCGGAACCTGTATATCTATATTTGGTTTGAGCTTGATCAACACAAAATGACTATGTTCATGCTGCATGATGATGGGCTTTTTACGACGTCTAGGTCTTTGATCAAATGGCAAAAAAAGAAGGCTTGATGCAGAATTTTCGCAAAATACTGCTACTGGTACATTAAATGTGTCAGATGCCAGCTGTGCACACTCTGGTGTATAAAACCAGTACTCTTGTGAGCACCCTGGCTTAATATATGATAAAACACTTATCAATCGCTCGATGTTATATCCAAGTATGTTAGCATACATATTCTGCTGCCTAATTAACTAAAGTTTCATAACGTTTTTAACATTTTGCCATTTCTCTTCTTCTTTGAATATAGCTACAGCTAGTGATCGAAAACCACAATGACCATCACTAAGCGGGTTGTGAACCTGTGATTATAAATATATATTTGAATTAGTTTTGAAAAAATAATTTTGTCAAACATTTATTTTGATATAAGTGCCGCCGGAACCTCGATCATATAAATTTTATATGATCGAGGTCCCATTTTCCCTTGGTGTCACCCATATAAGGTCTTAAACAACTATGAAA